CAAGCTCTGCTGGAGGATTAATTACTCTTCCAGCCTCAGTGTCTCTCATAAAAACGGGAGTAACATCCTCGCAGGCTGCGGTGAGGATTCCGTGAGTTCCTGGCACAGAGGGGAAGCTCAGTGATATCAGCAACCAATGGTCAGGGCGTCTCCACGACAGGTGCTGGGCAGCAATAAATGCCATCCCGCATTTCAGGGACCTTAGCCTGGAGGGGAAGGCAGCCAGAGTGCTGGCAGGGCAAATTCTAGGGGACTGCCCACCCGAGGTTCTTTGTTCTTTCTCTCTGGTGAGGAGCTCGGACTCTGTGCCCGGATATCCAGGTTTCAGGTTCGAATCCCATCTCTGTCCTCACCAGGGATGTGACCCCGAGCACGTGGCCTCATTTCTCAGGGCCCTGGTGGCCTCGCCAGTGACAGGAATTGCTGACGGGACTGAATGCAGTGTCATGAGCAAAGCACTTACAACAGCGCCCTGCACAAAATTAGCATTTGCTGCCAAGGAGATCCTAAGGCAGAAGGAATAAAAAGTTTCAACATGACGCTAAAACTTGTGACTAAAAGCAAACCCTTCAAGACAGGCATGCATTTAAATACTGAACGTGCAGCCCTGGCCTGGGTTCTCGGCGGTGAGAGTGTCCGCTCACACACCGAAGGGTCCCAGGTTCGATTCCTAGTCCCTCCCTCCCACTCCTTCCCTCTCTCCACACGAAAAATCAATGGAAAAAGAAGCCTTGGGTGAGGATTAACAAAAAATTAAAAAAAAAAAAAATGTTTACTGTCTGATGGAAACAGCGCCCCCCACCTTCAGAGGCTCTGAAACACGGGTGGAAATGCGAGAGGCCAGTCCCCTGTGCCTCTGGCTTCTGCCCTGCATGTCTGCATGTGGCACTGCCAGCCATCTTCCTGGCACCCAGCATGCCCCAGCCTGACCCACCGCTCTGACTGGCGGCACCAGCTGGGGTGGCCTCGGGGGGAATGCCAGGGAGTTGGGGAGCAGCTGGCCAGGCCCGCCCCGCGTGGGGCGTGCGGAGCTCTGGAGCTGAGCTGCCCGGTGAGCGGAGGGGGCAGGGAGGCCCTCCTCTGCTGCCCCCAGACAGAAGCCAGATCACAGCCAGACCTGCAGCTTCACTCCCTCAGCGGTCTGTCTGCTGAGGGAGTGGGGGACCAGTGGCCCTGAGGAGAAGCTTCCAGAACCTCATAGGGGTACTGGGCTAAGTGCAGCTCCTGCCCGACTCGTTGAACCCCTAACCAGGACCCTCACAAGCGGGTCCTGTCATTATCCCCATTTTTCAGATGAAACGGGGCTTGATCCCGGTCCCGACCAGCTCGGGGCTGACGGACTCCGAGGCGGTTCTGCTGGACCCCACACTCTGTGGCCGCTTCGGACAGCCCAGCGAGGCCCGTCGGGGCGGGTGACACCGGCTCTGGGACCCCGAAGAGGAGGGTGGGCGTCACTCACGCTTCCCCCGCGGAGACAGACAGCACGGCTGCGGCTCTCCCGGCACTCTCAATCCCGCCCCGAGTTTGCCACCGGAGGCCCCCCGCGCCCAGCACACAGCCAGCTGTTCCCGATCCGGCTCCTCCCGCACACGCTGGGCGCCTGGTGTGTGGCCTCTCGGCACCTTCACCCCATCCACAGGCAGGGCGAGGAGGAGGAGGAGGAGGAGGAGGAGGAGCGCCCACCCCAGGGGCCTTTTCTCTCACCCCCCGGCCTCCCCCTCCGTCCTGCCGGGCACACTCCTGTCTCGGGCGGTGGAGAGGGTCCCTCGGAGGGTGGTAAGCGGGGCCCGGGGTCAGCCCGGCGCCGCCTCGGCACGCCCCGCCCCAGAGCTCCGGGCCGGCCGGCGGGAAGGGCCGGCTCCCGCCGGGGAAGGCGGGAGAGGGTCCGGGGACGAGGTGAGCTGTCCGTCCTCACAGGCCTGTGTCCGGCTCCCGAGCCCGGGGCGGCTCCTGAGGGCGCTGACTCAGAAGCCCCACAACATGCTGCTGTGACTTCTGAAGCCACCGCGGCGTTTAAGAAGCCGGAGACACACTCCGTGGTCACAGCAGCTGACGGGTGGCAGTGCCCAGGGCACGTCCGTGAAGGAGCGGGGAGACACACAGGGTCCAGCCCACACGGACTGTTACCCAGCCTCAAACAGGAAGACCTGGGTGAGCCCCGAGGACACCAGGCTCAGGGAACAGCAGTCACAGGGACAGACACTGCAGGCGTCAACTCCAGGACGCTCCTAAAGGAGCTAGGTCCGTGGTCGGCAAACCGCGGCTCGGGAGCCACATGCAGTTCTTTGGCCCCTGGAGTGTGGCTCTTCCACAAAACACCACGGCCTGGGCGAGTCTATTTTGAAGAAGTGGCGTTAGAAGAAGTTTAAGTTTAAAAAATGTAGCTCTCAAAGGAAATTTCAATCGTCGTCCTGCGGATATTTGGCTCTGTGGATGAATGGGTTTGCCGACCACGGAGGTAGATCCACAGACACAGGAAGCAGGTGGTGGGAGCCAGGGGCTGGGGAGGGGAAGGCAGGCTAGTGTTTGCGGGGGACAGGACTCCAGTTTGGGAAGATGAGCCGGGTCTGTGGCTGGATCATGAAGAAGGATGCACAACAGTGTGGACGTACTGAATGCCACTGAGCTGTGCACCTAGAATGGTTAAAGTTGTAAACTTTATGTTGTGTGTATTTTACTACAATAAGAAAGTTGTGTTTTAGCTGTTTGTTTTGTTTTGTTTTGTTTTTTAAAAAGCCAGAGCTGAATAATACTCAACAGACAGGGGCACCAGTTGGAAGAACCATCACTTGTGGGCGTCTGTGCCAGGACAGGGCCAGGCTACACCCGGGACCCCACCACCGGTTCCGACCAGGGCCAGCTGCCCGGGCCCAGGTGCCAGGAGCACAGGGGCTCGCCGGGTCATTCACAGCAATGCAACCCCCAGGGCTGGAAAACAAGCTTTGTTCTCAAGAGCAAGAGCTAAAAAAATGAAATTAAAAATAAAAAAATAGCCTGCTGAAAATATCAGGGGCATTCACTGATAGTACGGTCCTAGATATTTTGACTAAAATGGAGACAAAAATAAGCCCACAGAAGCATGCCTTAAATTATATCCCAAGACATATGAGCCCTGAGCCTTTCAAACAAGCTCCTAAATTTGGAGAACTCAGCCTGGGATAACAGCTCACTGTTCCCCCTGCTTCCCGCCCATCTAGCAGCGGCTCTCGCGAGTCTGAACAAAGCAGTCACACAAACACAGACGTGCTTTCTTGTGCCTGAGTTGGTGCAAAACCCGCTGTGCTTTATTAGCTGTGCGGCCTCAGGCACGTTAGGTTACCTCCCTGGTCTCCAAATCAAGGATAACAGAGCTCCCCTTGCAGCTGTGGCTTAGCTTCTCTCTGTCCCTGACCTACCAACAGTCTCAAGGTTTTTCCACAACGTAACAACCATCACCCCTTCCTCCAACCGCAAACTTCAGATTCTCTTCCCTTCGCTGCCCCCCCTCTCGGGAGAGGTGTGGTGGCCCCCACTCTCCCGCGTCTCACAGATGTTCCTCCCTCCCCACATCTGTGCGGCGAAGGCTCTTCCTCTGGGGCTCCGATGGAGTCCTCACTGAGAACCCACAGACTCCGCTCAGGACTCACCTGTAGGGCTCACGGTCGCTTTGGGCTCACTTTAGAAGACCCTCCTTTTACCCTCGCTTTATCTTTTATGATGCAACCCAAAGGCCTTGCACTCACTCTCTCCCACCTCCATCCCATGCTCACGAATTCTTCCCAGGGAGTTTCGCAACGCAGTGAGGGGCAGAGGAGACAAGACTAGTGAACAAGCAACTTGTGTGTGCATGTGGGGCTTCCCCGCCCTGGACAGCAGTACATGGCAAAGCCACAGGGATCAGAACAGTTACAGCCCTGGTGCAAGGACAGACAGGTGTGTTTACGAATACCTAGAATCAGACCCCATATCAACGATGAAGGGGACATTTCTGCAATGAACAGCATTAAGACACACACCCCCAACTTGTTATTTTGGGGAAAATGGACATCCTTTCAAATCATACACACAAATAGATCCCAAAGGTCTAGGGTGATTTTTTTAAATGATGATAATGGAAATAGAAAATTTGGGGGGAAAACATTTGTTTTATGGATAGAAAGAAACGTTTTAAGCATAAAGTAACCTAAGAGGCATAGGCAAATCCAGCTCTGAACTCAACAAACCTGTAAGTTTCTCTGTCAACTGACATCTAGAGCATTTGAACAAAATGCCTGAAAACACAACTGGTAAGGGTTAATAGCCTGCATCTATGCAAACTGCACACAGGTGAACATTTCAAAAGCCACAAAGGTCCTAACGGATAGATGGACAAAAGACATGAACAGGAAGAGAAACCCCAAAGGACAAACACGTTTTAAAAGGTTCAACCCTGATAACAATCAAAGAAATGCAAATAGGACAGCTCCTCCCTCCAGTGAATTATGAAAGATTCTCTCAAACAACACTCGGCGAGGCCAAGGTGTCCCTCGGCGCCAGCGCTGAGAGGCGCTCCCGCTGGTACAACATTTCCAGAAAGCAATTTGGCAATCGGGATCCGGAACCTTTGACCCAGAAATGCCACTTCTGGAAAAGCAAGGCTTAAAGAAACAAATTCCCCATAAAGCTTTGTTCACGGGACAACTGGAAAGACTCCTCACCCGAGGATATTTTCCCACTGATTTTTAGAGAGAGTGGAAGGGGGAGGCACAGACACAGAGAGAGAATTATCCAGCGTACATGCCCTTGACTGGAACTGAACCCGGGACCCTTCAGTCCACGGGCAGACGCTCCATCCACTGAGCAAAACGGGCGAGGGCTGCAAATAAAGTCATTCACCCAGAGCCACGTACATTCGCTGACGTCCAGCCTCAGAGCCCACAGCGTTCTGTGTCTGAGCCTCTGCAGAAAAGGCCTGCTCCTCCCAGGCTAGGGGTGCCCCGGCTCCGCTAACACACGGCCCAGCCCCGCGCGCCCCGGCATAC